ATTTCAACAACTCTATATGGGCCTTCCCAACTCGGCGACCACTTGCCAAATTTAGTGTCCCTAGTTCCAACAGGCAAATTGTTTTCCACACTAAGTCTCCTATTTGAAACGATTTTCCCCTCACCCTTTTGTTATAAGCCTTAGCTATACTTAATTTTTCTTTTTCAATTTCCCGTAAGGTTCTTAATCTTTCTTCTGGAACATCATCAATTCCGTCCAGCACAAAGTTCAAAAAAGCGCTAGGCGCTAATTATGCGTTTGGGCACCTACTTGCGCTTTTCTAGCTTAGGCGTGATTAGGCGAAATTAGGCGCAATTAGGCGTTAGTACTGTAACGTGAAGAAATAAGCTAGATGGGCTGGGCTAGCCCACTAAACCATAGGCCCATCTTCATATCCTCCTACTAAAAGCTCTCGTCTGCTGCAGTCGATAGGAAATCTAGGTTTCCTTCTCACGCCGCCTCCCCCCCTCGTCCTTTCTGTCTCGTTGCACGAGGCTGCCTCCCTCCCTCTTCCTCTGTCCCTTGTCGGAGAAGCTCGATCCCTCGCCGGAGAAGCTCAATCCCTCGCCGGAGAAGCTCGATTTGTCGTCGGGGCAGTTGAATCCCTCGTCGGCGAGGATGAATCCTCGCAGGGGAGGTCGAATCCTCGCCGGGGAGACTGATTTCTCACCTCAGAAAGCTGATTCCTCGCCGGAGAGGCTGATTTCTCGCCGGAGGACCTCGCCGGCCGCTTTTTTGAGCGCCTAGGGCCAAAGCGAGGCGCTATGCCAACGCCCAGCGCTTAAGCGCGCCTAGGCGAGCGCCTAATAGCGCCTTCTTGAACAGTGGTCCAGCATCAAATTATTATAGTCTACAGCTGATAAATCATTTTGTCTGGCTACTTTAAGAGCTTGCAAATTAAATTAACCTCTACAGGTAACATTGCTTCCTGTCCATACACTAACTCATACGGTGTCACTTGAGTTGCTCCATGCTTAGATATCCGATGAGCCCATAAAGCCTCCGAAAGCACTTCATGCCACTTTCTTGGATGCTCCTTAATTTTCTTCTTTATAAGCTTAATTAAAGTTTTATTGCTAGATTCGGCCTGTCCGTTAGCTTGAGCATAATAAGGCGACAAATTTAACAATTTAATTCTAAAAGATTCGACAAACTCACAAAATTGATGAGACATAAAAGAACCTTGATCAGTAGTCAAAGTTTGAGGAATACCGAATCTGCGAATAATATGCTCCAAAACAAAATTAATCACTTCCTTATGGGTCATATTTCTTAAAGGAATCGCTTCAGTCCATTTGGTAAAATAATCTGTAGCTACTAGGACGAAGCGATGACCTTTAGATGAAGCAGGATGTATTTGAACAATAAAATCTAAACCCCATCCCATAAACGGCCATGGCTTAATAATGGGATGCATCATAGCTGCAGGTGCCAATTGAACATTTCCAAATTTCTGGCATTCTTCACACCCTTTATAAGAGCGAAAACAGCCCCCTAACATCGTTGGCCAATAAAAACCTGCTCTTTATCGAAAAAGGCTTTCGCCCCGCTTTATATATAAAGCAAACCGCCCAAGCCAAACATCCAACAATGTTCACACACACACACTCAAAGTCACACACACACACAGATAAGGTAGCAGTAAGGTTAATGCTGAGGGCACAACTCAACAAGCCCTAAGAACAAAAGGACACACACAAAGACCGCCACAAACGAAGCATGCCTAATCAGGCTCCGGCGGCGGTGGTGGAAGCGGGGGCGCCATGCGGAAGGCCATCGATCGAAGGTCGGTGAGGAGGGTGTTGATGACGCTCCGATCCTGGGGGTGGCTAAGCGGCCGCCAGAGCTGCAAATAGCCACACATTTTGAAGATCGCGTCAGTCGCACGTCGCAGAGGCACTTTCTGAATAACAAGCTTGTTGCGAATATTCCAAAGCGTCCACGCGAGGATCCCAATGCATAGCCATCTAATATGGCGGTAACGCGGGGAGGAGGCATGGGTCTCCGCGAGTAAGTCAGGGAAGTTGGTATTGCACCATTGTCCGCCGACCGTTTCACGGAAGCACGACCACATGAACTGGGCCGTGGAGCAGTTGAAGAAACTGTGGTTCGAATCCTCAACCGTGGCGCACAGGGGACACATCCCGTCCCCAGGGCCATTGCGCTTGCGGACTTCAACCCCAGAGGGGAGACGTCCCCGGATCCACTGCCAGAGGAATATTCAGATCTTAAGGGGGAGGCGAATGTCCCAGATCAGGCTAAAGGGCTCAGGGGCCAGCGAGGGGGCGATGGCAGCGTACAGAGACTTCGTGGAGAAGCATCCCGAGGGCTCCAGGCGCCACGTCATGGAGTCAGTGCGCCCTCTACCTCCATCGGCAAGAGAGCGATGTCCTGTAGAAGGGCGTCCCACGCGTCAACCTCCTGGGGGCCAAAGGGGCGCCGAAAGGCGAGACGCCCTAAGTCAATAAGGGCCCTCTCGACGGAAATCCGGGGGTCAGCCGCAATGGCAAATAAGCCCAGGAAGCGGGCGGCCAGAGGGGAATCCCCAAGCCAGCGGTCAAACCAAAACAGGGTCGAGGACCCGGAACCCACAGAGATGGACGTGCCAATTTGGAGCACGGGAAGAAGCTGAATCACAGCTTGCCAGAACTGGGATCCCCCAGAGCGCTGGCAGAAAGCTAGAGGTTGGCCCCGGAGATACTTATTCTGGATGATGGTAAGCCAGAGGCCGCCCCCCGTTGGCGATACGCCATAGCCATCTGGTCAAGAGAGCAATGTTCATGCGACGGGAAGACAAGATCCCCAGACCTCCCTGGTCGTTGGGTTTGCAAATGTTAGGCCAACTCACCATATGGTATTTTTGCTTGTCCCCCTCGCCAGCCCAGAAGAACCTGGACTGATATTTGGCCACCTCCTGGTGAAGCGTCTCATGGAGGCTATAGAAGCTCATGAGGAACCAGAGGAGGCTAGCCAGCGAGGAGTTGATGAGGATTACCCTCGCCGCCCTCAAGAGCCATCGGCCCTTCCAGGGCTCGACCCGGTGTTGCATTCGGGTCACGGAAGGGCGGAGGTCCGCTACGGTGAGGCGCGAGTCACTAATGGGGATCCCCAGATAAGTCTTGGGGAAAGAACCCAGGCGGCAGTTAAGCCGGTCCGCAATGCCCTGGGCCTCCTCCGGGGGGAATCCCAGAACCATCACTTCGCTCTTATCGAAGTTGATGGTAAGACCGGACATCTGTTGGAAGCATAGGAGGAGAAACTTCAGGTTGGCAATATCGGACGCGGAGCCCTCAACCATTATTATGGTGTCGTCGGCATATTGGAGGAGGGAGACCCCACCCCCTCCTACTAGGTGTGGGACCACGCTGTGAATGTGACCGGCCGATTTGGCCTTGTCAAGAATGGCCGCAAGGGCGTCAACCATCATGTTGAACAGGAACGGTGAGAAAGGATCGCCTTGGCGAACCCCACATAGAGTGGGGAAGAAGGGGCCAATCTCACCATTAATGTTAATAGCGGTCCGACCGCAGGAGACAAGCTGCAAAACTCTGGTCACCCAACGGTCATCAAGGCCCTTGCGGAGTAATACTTCCCGAAGGAAGGGCCAGTGAATAGTGTCATAGGCTTTATGGAAGTCGAGCTTCAGGAAGACCGCCCGTTGGTGCTTGGAGCGGACTTCATGAAGGACCTCGTGGAAGACCAACACCCCATCCAGGATAAAACGACCCTGAATGAAAGCCGACCGATTGGGGTGAGTGATCGAGTTGGCTAGCAAGGTCACCCTTTGGCGTACCCTTTGGCCAGAATCCGGAATATCACATTGATCACAGTGATAGGTCGGAATCGGCGGATGTCCGTCGCGCCCGGAACTTTGGGGATAAGAGTGACGACCCCATAGTTCAGGCGCCCATGATCCATGGTCCCCAAGAAAAACTCGTCGAAGAGAGCCATGACCTCAGGTTTGATGGTTTGTCAGAATGCTTTAAAAAAGGACACTGGCAGTCCATCCGGCCCCGGCACCGAGGAGGCGTTCATGCCCTTAATCGCCGCGAGGACCTCCTTCTCGGAGAACGGGGCAACTAAGGCGGCATTGTCCACATCAGACACAAGCTGGGTGCCCGACCAGATGTCGGTAGCCAGAGCGACCCCACCCCGAAGGGTGGGGGAGAAAAGGGCTTTGTAGAAGCCATCTACATGTGCCCGGATGTCCAAGGGGCGGACGAGCTGGGAATCACCATCCCACAAACAGTGGATGGAGTTCCGACGTCGCCGCCCATTCGCGATCGCCTGGAAGTATGCCGTATTAGCGTCGCCCCGCAGCACCCATCGCTGGGTACCGCGGAGCCTCCAGTATGCTTCTTCATCCGTATAGATGGTGGCGAGCTGATCCTCAAGATCATATCGCAACATCCACTCATCTGAGGAGATCCCGGAAGTGTCCGTGCGGGAGTCCAAGGCCTGGATGGCAGATAGGAGGGCTTTTTTGCGTTCGCGGAGGTCCTTGCCAAGGTTAGCGCCCCACACCTTCATAAATTGGCGGGCGATCTTGGCGCAAAACTGCCAAGAGTCCACAGCCGACATGGACCGGTGGGGAGAGGAGCGCGCAGTGGTCCACTTGGCCGCGACCGCCTTCCTAAAGCCCGCTTGGTTGAGCCAGAAGAGCTCGAACCTAAAGCGAGGCGGGGTGGGAGGGCGTTCGTCGGCGGTGGAGAGGATGAGAGGGACGTGGTCCGACCCAATCCGGGTAATCGCACGGAGCGAAGCCAAGGGACATCTAAGTTCCCATTCCGGGGAGACTAGGACGCGGTCCAGGACGGACCGCGTTGGGCCGGCTTGGCGGTTAGTCCAGGTAAATCTGGCACCCGTCCGCTCAACCTCGCGTAGGCCGAGATCCGCGATGCAGTCGTTGAACATCTGCATCCTAGGGCGGTTGATCCGGTCGTTATTCTTCTCATCGGGAGAGCGGATGAGGTTGAAATCACCTTCAACAACCACCGGGAAGGTGGAGGCGGAGACCTTCTGTTGTAGCTCTTCGAGGAAGGTCGGGGAGCGGCGGTGGTCCGCCGGTCCATAGACAATGACAACCTCCCACTTGAAGTTGAGCGCCCTTTCGAAGAGCTCCATGCTAACGAAAAACTCGCCCCGGTCTATACCGCCAACCTCAAAGGTGGCATCCTTCACACCTAAAAGGATGCCTCCCGAGTGCCCCGTGGTCCCACTAGAAGGGAGCCAGTGCCAGGCGAAGAGGTGGGGGCTAAGACGCTCTAACTCGGGGAGAGAAAATTCCGTGCACATGGTTTCCTAAATGGCGATGATGTCGATGTGCTCGTCACACATGTACTCAACGAGCTGGCGACGCCGGCCGTCATGGCCGAAGCCGCGGATGTTCCAAAAGAGGACCCGCATCTAAACCCCCATCGGGGGGCTGCTTGACCCCATAACAGAGGAGGCGCTACTAGCCTTGAGCGCCGCAGTGCAGGAGCGGGTGCGGCCACGAATTTCCAGCGCGGGGGGCTGGGGTGCTGGAGTGCGGAGGAGACGGGCCCGGGTCTCAGCGAGTTTCCCATCAAGGATTTCCTGGGCCTGCATAGCAGCAATCTGCTCTAAGGGGGGTCCAACCCCCCCCCCCCCTAAAAACGACGGACGAGTCCGCGGCCACTTTGGCGAGGTGGCCCAGAGGGACAGCCTCAAGAGCAGAAAACGAGCAACTGGAAGAACTGGGTGGGAT